ATTCTAATTTCAGTGGAGTTTTCTGTATTGTCTGTTGAAAAATTCTCCCACATCAGTAATGGAACTCTATGATGCATGTTGCACATCATGATGTTTGAACCAGAAAGGTAAAAAAAAAAAAAAAGAAGAACATGCCTACTATTTTGTAATTCCAAAAGAGACATTAACAAGACTATGGTTGGAAGAAAGTTGAAATTTATAGATTTCATGAAGACAAGTCCTTTTCCCCCCATTCTGCATTGTAGTATATGTCCCACTGTACTGGAACTGGCTTGATTTTACTGTTATTCTAAACAGAATCTTAAAATATGCCTAAATACTTAAGCTGCTGCACTGAAGGAGATTATCTTTTAATCTTCTTTGCACTGGAGAATAAGAATCCATGTTATATTCTAGTTATATCTTAACTTATTTAATTGCTAAATGACTGAATGAGCTTTGCACAGTGAAGAGGCAGTTTAGAGCAAATCTATTCCCACATAATCCACACTTCAACAGGACACCACTCATACTAGCCAGAAAAATCTCCAAAAGCCCTCTAGCATTCACATGAAAACTGTTAGCTTCTATGGGCAGACCATCCTAAAAATTCTCCCATCTCTTCCACAAACAGTAATTGCTCAAAGTTCAAAGCTCAGCAGAAGAACACCTATAAAATCCATCAGCTTCATATCATCCAATTCATGTTCAGCAGGAAAGAAGCTTCCTGGTATACTTTCTGTTTAGATTACAATGTCACAAACTTCATGTTTGAACAGTCAAGCCACTAGTAATGCAATGTGAGGCAGTTGGCAAACTGCTGTGCTGGGAAAAAATATTAATAAACACTGCTTCATGCCTATAAATTCTGATATTCAAGATAATGGAATCTAACATTACAGACTATCAGCACTCTAGATCTTTGTAACAGCAGAGAATTTATTAGAATGTCTCAATCGTTAACAGCCTATCACATAAGCTAAGGAGAGCAGCATTTTCTGTTTCAATCCAGGATTCTTTTAAGCCTGGAGAATCTGAAGCAGTGGACAGGAGCCTCTGTAATATGAATTACATAATCATTAGGAATTAGATCCATCTCTCCTTGCTCCTTCAGGCAGATTGACAAGATGAATGTAGATCAACAGCTTGCCTTCAGAAGTTGTGGATACTGGAGGTTTTTAGAAGAGATTGGACAGTCAGGGACCACCTTACAAAATATGATTCCACCTATCCACTCCAAGCATCTAGGATAAGCTTGCTAAATATCCCAACGACCCTCCCGCCCTGTGAATAAAGGAATTGGAGTTCTTACTAGTAGTCCGCAAACTGAGAAACATGCTATCCCTATAAATTCAATTGCTCAGAATTTCAACAATTTCTTTCAACAGGCTTTTGGACTCTTAGCAAATGGTGAACAACTGATCATTTGTGGTAGCTGCTTCTTTTTAAATGGTGCAAATATTCTGTTTATGGTTTGCTCTTCTGAGTGCCCCACAAACAGTTTGATTTGGGTAGTGCAAAATATTGCAAAATAAATAAATATGCCTGTGCACTATAATACAACATGCGTACCCTGTTCAACTGTACCTGAGTCACACCAGGTTGTATTGTGTGTGACACTTCTACACCACACTCAACAGCAAAAGGGATACTTTTCCTTTAATCTCTCTCATTTTACCCCTTCCATACAGACAAAGATAAAACTTACTCTATTTTTATGTGCATTCACTGACGCATACCGGACTGTTCCCCGGAATCCAGCAACATTACGAGGCTAATGAAAAGAAGATACATTAAATTTATTTTTTTTAATGTGAAAGAATGTAAAGCTGTCCACCTTTTCTTCATTGCTTAGGTCCACAAACAATTTTGATGATAAATATTAAGATGAACTGATGGTCAAATTAGACATTTTGGTTATGGATTAAAGATGATTTTTGAACAAATCTTTTATAAATAATAATACTTCCTACTGGAAAATACCATTGTAAGATAAATTAAAATTATCATTTTAAAAAATGTATAAAAAGATAAGATCTCCACAGAAAATACTATAGATCTCAGTGGACAAAGGATAACAGCAAAGTGTTTTTCCCCCAGTACAAAACAGTACACTGGTTTCAGAAACTTAAGAGCATGTTAAAAGTCAAAAATAGATTCAGTTGACTATACAGTAGAGAGATAACAACCTCATCTTTCTTACCAAAGTACTTCAGTTGCTAACTCAGTTTCTTTCTACTGCTCCATCTTAATTCACATGGACAGAATCCCTTTGGTGCCAGGAAATAAAAAGTTCAGGAATATCCCTATATATTTTAAAGTACATTTTAAAATATCACATGTGAAAACTATCAGAAAGAAATTTGTAAGGGGGGGGCTTACACACGTGCATGCATGTTTGTTTGTATACAAATTATTATACATATATATTGTTTAAGAAAAAAACAGGACTGATTATGATTCACAGATGAGCATAATTTCAGTGTCAATAATTTTGGTTCCTTTTATTGTGATGAAAAAATTATCTATGAAAAACAAGCAAAGAGCAACAACTGGGTCCCCACTGTACTAATGTTTTGTTGTATTACACAAAGTATAGATAGGTAATCATCTATCAGCACAACGGGTACCATTGGTGAATTGCCTTTTACTCCCTGTAACTCCTCAAAAATGCTCCGAGAATTTGAAGGCCAAATGCAGGAAGGTGGTACAATGCAGAGCATAAGGATAGGTATTCTGTTGTGCAGATAACAATCTAGTTGGGTAACTTTGGACAGAATCTTCTATCTTCAATTATTTAATAATTGAAGCCTGATTTTCAGAATTTACAGGATGCAGTGATGCTAAAAGAGGGCCATTGCTTACTTAACTCCTAACCCTGAGTTTAGTCACATAAGTTTCAGTCACATAAACATAAATCACCAGTGTTATATATTCTACTTTCTGGAACAAATCATTAAATAGGGTAGATGTTATTCAGTATATTTGGAAAAAATATATTTTTTAAAATTATGATAAATAAAAAATAAATAAATGTCACAATTGTACTGGCTTTAACAAATACTTTGGTCTCCTTAGCATATGCTAAAACAAAACTTTGAAGAACTGTCATTTTCTCTTATTGTTAGGATTTCACAATTTTGGGTATATATTTCACGTTTCTAAAGGAAATATATTTTCATGTGTATAAACAGGATTTGATATCTTCAGCTTTTGCACAATAATTACAAATTTTAAATAGAGATTGTTCTTAAGGCCCAAAGGATCTTCAACATATGATTTACTGCAGTTCTACAAGGGCCAAACTTTCATAAATTCAAAATCCAGAAAGCTCTTAGCCTAGGCATAAAATATTGAAAGCAAAAATTATTTCATGGAAACAAAATAAATAGGGAAAAAATAACTCAGAATTATATTCATTATTAAAACAAACACAAAAAAAATAAAATAAGAAGCATTATGATGGCTCACTCACAACTTATGGTTGAGATGGTTATAAGCAGCAGATGGGAAGCCAACGCATCAAACAGTCTCAAAAAACGAGCCCAAAAGAACTGTAAAACAAAGAGAAACCCAAAGAAAACCATGACAATAAAAATGCAAAATGAAGGGAAACAAAACAGAAACAAATATAAAATTGGATAAACATTATTATCATCTCTTCCCCTACAGAAGTGCCTTGTATCTCTTACTTGAGTTAGCTAAAGCTCATCATGCTCTAGATATCCTATCCACAGTAGTGCATTGTGGCTCAGATTTTAGAGCAGTGGTCTCAATTTTACAGCATATGGGCAGATGCAGAATGTTCAAATCATTTTCTATGACCTGCCACAATATTTTGTGGGCACGAAGGACACTGCCCATCAAGGCTAGTTCCTTGAGTGGATGTAAATGCTCAGGCTGAGTAACAGGAAGTACAACAGCGGGACCTGATCAGCTGGGCCACACAGCCAGCACCACAAACCTCTTGTGCCAAGTTCAACTGTTGTCTGGGAATCCCACCCACCAGTGGTGTGTTGCTCTTACCATCGCTACCGGTATGCTGATTGCGGTCTGTTCGTGCACATGTCAGATGTGCGTTGCGCCCGCACCTGATGTGTGTTGCGCCCGCGCCTGACATGCGCTCCACATGCATGCACAATCCAACGCCCCTGCGACAGTCAGCTGCTCGTTGGGGCTCGCACCAGCATCATACACAGCTATAGAGCATGGGTGGGCGGGCGGCCCAAACGAGCCACTATGCCAGTACGCTCTCCACTGCTCCAGGTCACTACCAGTACGGCCGTACTGGGTGGTACCCGCAGCAACCCACCACTGCCACCCATCCTCACACTTCATGACACATGCTGTTTCCAAAGCAGTCCCAGGCTCTTTGGGCAGGAGCAATGGGAAGATGGGATTTGGCAACAAAACAGATGCTGGAACTGCCCAGAGAAGGGAGAGAGAAAGTAGCTGAAGGACAGAGGGACAAATCTGGCTACCCTATCTTGAGTTTTTCACAATTTTGCAAGAAATGGGGAAAAACAGAAAGCAATAAGCAAGCAAGCAAAATCTCTTGAGAAAAAGGGCAGAAGAAAAGAAAACTGTTTCTTCAGGAAAGAGAAAGAAGTAAGAGAAAAGCGGGGATTTTGACAGCTCTTCATGGGATTATTTTCCCTTATTCTCCTCTTCAATATGATCCTGAAAAATTAATGAAATCACTGAGAACTAATTGGTTGAAATGAAATGACTGTTTTGCAAGAAACTTTACTGTTTTGCAGTACATTTTTTAAAATATACTTTAATGGCATATCATGATATTCTCCATTTTTGATTTGTATCAAAGACTTCAATGTTTTAACTCCTGAGCCAATAAACTACTCCTCAGATGGACCCAACAATTTGATTTTCAGATTCCAGTTCTAAGGAATGACCCAGTCTTTAGCAATAGAATTATAGTCAATATCCTGTAGTGAATTTCAACAGCCTTTTGGTCCCCATGTTGTAGTTTGATAAGAGGTAAGATTAATTGACACAATTTCTCGATTTCTTCTTCAATGTTTATTCTAGGGATGGCCATCATTTGAATCCTCAGGGGTCATACTATTCTTTATTTCCAAGGTCCTTATTTACTAAGGATAGCTTCTGTTTCTATTTCCTAACAATTAGTTTTTATTTTTATTTTTTGAAGACTCTTTGGATACTTTTAAAAATCTGTTTGTGGGTTATTGGAGCTCACATTTTCTGGGAATAACTATGCCTCCTGATAAAGGATATAAATATCAATATACAGTATGTATCAGCAAAAGAAAAATCACAATGCACTCTTACTCAAACTTAGGTTTATTCAGCAATTCTGGCCTTTCACTGTATTTTAGGCAGATAGAAACCATGTTCCATTTACTTTAGGGTGTATGTAGCTATTCATCTATATAAGCAAGAGGAGGAAACTTTGCAACAGCTACTGCAGAATGTGGAACCCAGGTGGGCAGACTTTTGACAAAATAGTGTGTATTAGATAGATCCATCTTGTTAATTGATCTGTGAAATAGGGAGGCAGCCAAAGCACCTGAGATAGCTCCAATGAGATCTTTTTCATGTTATCATTTTCAAGGTGAGTTCTTACTTTACTAAGGAAGTGGGGGGATATTTGAAAATTTGCCTAGAGCAATAAAGTCAGAAAACCAGAACTAAATGCAAGTGAGCATTGCTAGACTTACACTGTGATGATAAAAGCAGTGAAATTCCCTGCACTTCAGTAGTCTTGAAAATTCCCACCTGGTGGCCCTATTCAAAATTATTTAGACCCTTTTATAGTCAGGCAGGCGAGAAACACCTATAGGCATACTGGATAAATTCATGGCTCGGCAGATAAATCACTAAATCATAAATCAATTCATATACATTGTAGATTGATAGGAAATGGGCAAAGCCCATGGTTGATGAGAGAAGGAAACTTGTGTTGTAATCTGGGATATGTTTGGGTATGTAGGACCTATAGAAGCAGATAGGGATCGCTATAATATTAACACTACCAATTTGTAAATTTGACTTATGCCCGTACTGGCTGTATTAGATGACAAGTTGAGGCATGAGGCTTTGGATCTGGAAGGCAATCTATATAATTTAAGGGAGATGGGTAATGTCATTTGCTTTGAAGGAAGTAGTAGTTCTTGGTTCCAGCCACGTTTCATAATCCTTGCTTGGTCTTCAATCTCCTATCTGTAGGAGGTTATTGAGAAAGTGATAGGAATCAGCTACAGGATCCTAGAAAAACAGATTATTTGGATCGTTTTCAGTCTGTATTCAATTCCAGCTATGAGACAGAAATGGCACTGGTCATCTGATAAGATGATCTTCATGGGGATCTAGATAACAGAACCCTGCCCTCTTGGCTCCATTAAACCTCTTGGTGGTATTCAATATTATCAAACATTGTATCATTTTGGACTTTACTTGCATTGGAATTATTAATACTGTTCTAATATGGATCTGCTCACACCTGAGTGGATGGTTCCTGTCAGTGGTCCTGGGGAAATATAGAAAAAGCATAGAAAAAGCATTTGAGTTCCAGTGTAGAAAATCACAGGGTTTAGTGTTTTCCTTTTTGTTATTTAAATAAAACCACTGGGAGAAGTCATCAGGTGTTTCAGGGTGAAGTATCATCAGTGCACTTAATGTATATCCAGTCTGGACCAAGGAAGTCTTGAACCCGTATCTGGAATCTTTGACGATCTTGATGGACCAAAACAAGCTTAGATTAAAACCTACCATATTTTTCGGAGTATAAAATGC